ATTCTGGGTGTGTCTGTAAGAGAGTTTCTGAATGAGAGTAACATTTGAATTAGTAGACTGCGTGAGTAAAGCAGATTGCCCTACCCAATGTGGGTGGGCCTCACCCAATCAATTGAAGACCTGAATAGAACAAAAAGGCCAAGATGAAGGCAAAGAGATTTCCAGCTATTATTTTATAAACCATCTGTGTTAGGGTTCTACAGAGAAACAGAACCAATAAGAGATTAGATAGATAGATAGATAGATAGATAGATAGATAGATACATACATACATACATACATACATACATACATACATACATACATACATACATACATTCATACATACATACAGACAGACATACGTACTTCAAAAAGTTCATGGAAAGATTTGTGTTATCTTTTTATTCTATTTTTCCATGAACTTTCAGAAGTTCCTGTGTGTATGTGTGTGTGTGTGTGTGTGTGTGTGTGTGTGTGTGTGTGAATAAATTTATTATAAGATATTGGTTCACATGATAATGGAGGCTGAGAACTTCCAAGATCTACAGTCAGCAAGCTGGAGACTCCAGAGAACCAATGATATACGTGCAGTCCAGGACCAAAGGCCTGAACCAGGAGAACTGATGGTGAAGTTCCAGTCTGAAAGCTGGCAGGCTCCAAACCCAAGAAGAGCCAATGCTTCAGTCCAAGTCTGAAGACCAGAAAAGACTGATGTTCCAGCTCAAAAAGAGGACTTAGGCTTTTTGTTCTATTCAGGACTTGATTGGGTGAGGCCCACCCGCACTGGGTAGGGCAATCTGCTTTACTCAGTCTACTGATTCAAATGTTACTCTCCTTCAGAAATGGTCTCACATATACACCCAGAATAATGTTTGACCAAATATCCAGGCCCAGTCAAGTTGACACATAAAATTAAGCAGCATACCATCAAGCCATCAATCAATTCTAAGTGCAGAATAAAGACATTTTCAGGCATGTGGGGTCTCAAAAAATTTACAGTCCATGCACCATTTCTCAGGAAGCTCGTGAAGGATTTGTTCTTCAAAATGAAGAACTGAACCTTATTTAGTTTAGTGATCCAGGAAAAAACTGAAGAAAATACCCAGAATGGTGGTGAAAGAAACCTGGGATGACAGCTCTGCCACAGGCCCAGAGAGAAATCAGTCCTCGCAGAGTGGGATAATGTGGGTCTCCAGGAAGGGTGCCTCCAAGAAAAATAAAATGGTGCAAGTAGATTGCCTGCTGTGTTTGATGATGTTGCATTTGCTAGCAGAGAATGTACGTGGTTTTAGAGACAGATACATAGAAAATAAGGAAGTGAAAAATAATGGGGAAATGAGGGAAAACAAGGAAATGTAATCATGATGTACTGAGTGCTTCAGCTATGAACAGTGATAATTTGAACACTTGATATTGATTTAACCAAAAATTAAAATCATAGCCATACTGGGGGTGTGGGAGAGGAAGTAGTACATATGTATGAGAGAGAGACTGAATCCTTTCCGTACTATGCAGTCAGTAGATAATGTCTGCGTTTGGAAAAAAAATCAAGAAGTAACATTATAAGCATGTTATTTTGAAATATGGAAATAAATTACTGAAGAAATGTTGCAGATGGTTGGTTTAAGGGAGCAGGAATCAGGAGTGAGGCAAAGACTTGTTTTTTATTCCTTTATGTGATTTTTTAAAATAGGTACTTGTAAAACTTGTTCAATCCAAAGCTGATAAAAATAAGAAAATGTGTGGAGGTTTTCAAAATGTGTACTGGGTAAGACACATTATTTAGTATAAACAATGATAATAAAGAAGTGGCTGAGGAGCTTCAGACACCTTCAGTTCAAAGGTGTCCATGCTGTGGTCTCAGAAAAGCAGGGCAGACATTTGAAATCGTCACCAGTTGCGGTGGTCCAGTCATGTGTGCTGACATAATAGAGGCTGAAACCTAATCAATTATACTAAAGAGAAAATGTAGAAATAGAAAGGACATGCTACAGAAGAGCTCAGAAAGCAAAAATTTGGTCATTTATCCTGGGCTGTCCTGGCACAAACCGCAGTGTGTCATGCTCTGCCAACTAGATTCTGAAACACAATCTCCACCTCCCTGTCCTCTACTTTCATGCCATGTGACCTTCCCAGATACCTTGACACTAGGAAGCATTGGTGCTGAACAGTGAATTTGAAGTTTCTTGTGCCTGAAAGGATATGTCCCTCACTGGTTTTTAATAACATGTCATTCGGGGTTTAACAACTACGACAAAAAAGTCCCTAACCATACAACACAGATAATGGGCTTATTGATACGCATTTAAAGCATGTTTTGGAAAAAAACAAACACTTAATGTCTGTAAACATAATTAGCCACAACCACAATTATATCTGTATTGCTCACTAGCACCAAGCACAGTGCCACGCACCAGAAACTAATTAAGAAGTATTTGTTAAAGAAAGAAATGGATGTTCAAAGGACACAGCATTATTCAATAACCAGACCACATGGGGGAGTGTTTTTCCATAGCAGGCTGGTGAGGTACGAGCTATTATCTGCTCCACTATGTATTTTTGTTTGGGAATCAGTTACATCTGTAGTTGAAGAAAACAGCCTTCAATATAAAGCAAAAGGCCCCAAGTATTCTGCCAACCAAGTTCACTAAAGGAAGTTAAATCTATATTTATGAGAAAGTCCCACACCAAGAACATCATTTTGAATATGGTTTTGTGTGTGTGTGTGTGGTCTATATATATATATATATACATACATTTTTTACAAATTGTATCTTATACATTTATTAACAAATAAGTTGAATAAATTGATGTACTTTGTAATTCATAATTTTTCTATTACAGTTAAATATGAAAGAATCAAATTCTTGGTGATTGCCTTAAAGAATGCTGTGGAGATATATGCTTGGGCTCCTAAACCATACCATAAGTTCATGGCATTTAAGGTAAGCAAGCATGCGATTACCTAAAAAGGGCTTTTTTTAAATTTTATTTTCAGTTTCCACCAGTATAACAAAGTGGTCTGTTTCCCACATAGACCGATGCCAATTTTTCTATGTATAATAAATCTGTTTTAAAAGCGTAGGTATTCTTAGATTTATTATTTTAAAAGTTAAGATCATGTATTAAAAATGCCATAAAACTAGTCAAATTAAAATTTAGGTGTGTTCTCCTCTATTTGCGGTCTATAAATTATCATCTTCAAGAGGCATTTAGTATGGAATGGTTACTGCGCAAAGCATTGATTATGATATTGTTCAATGATATTTGTTATAAAGCCACCTAACAAGGTAACTCTCTGATATTTTGTCTGAAAAAGACAGACCAATGGCAGTACTGAATCTCAAGGTTAAACTGAGTCTCCAAAGCTTGTAATTCTCATAAAGCTTTCCAGATAAAGTCCCTAAAACTCAGCTGATGCTTATATATCCCCATGACTATTAGACATCTCTGAAATGAATACTGAATGGAGTTGCTTATGTAAATAATCTAGTTTCCCTGCATTCTGATTATCTTCAATTCTGATTATCTTTTGTTTTTTGCCTTGTCTGAGTCTGCACCCACCATGGTTGGATTGGTCGCTCATGAGATTCAGCAGGAGTAGGATAGGGATATGCTAGTCTCGTTAATTGCAGCTCAGGAAAGTTGACCCCCAAATGCCAGGAGGACAGAATTTGCAGGAACCCGGCTGTGTTCAGAGCCACACAGCCCATCCATAGCCGATGTCAATTTATCTCCTGTTCTTTTCTCCCTGACTCTGTCTCTCTCTATACATCCCATTGGCCCTCACGTTTTCTCCCCAACTTTATGACTGTTGCCTCCCTTTGGCGTTTTATTTATTCTTTCCTGCCTCACATGTTGTGTGAGTTCAGAAGCTGCCCTAGGAACATTATGCAGGCCTTCTTTGGAGCTAAATCATCCCCCTTCTATCTTGTTACCTTAGTGCAGGTGGCTCATTTGTGATGTGCTGAGGAAGACAAATTCATCAGTAGGAATGGGCTCCCCTTCATAACCCCACTTTTACGGAAAGAAATTTTTGGAATGTGTTAGGTTAGTAATAACACTTAAGAAATGACTCCTAAAAGCTAAAGTGGTGCTCCTGTTCTGCCAAGGTCTCTCTCTGCAAAAGCTTTTCAATCAAGATCCCATTTCTGTCT